AGCAAAGGGTCTGAATACTTATGACCATGTGATATTTCAGTTTTTCTTTTTTAATAAATCTGCAAAAATGTCAAAAATTCTGTGTTTTTCTGTCAATATGGGGTGCTGTGTGTACATTAATGAGGAAAAAAATGAACTTCAATGATTTTAGCATATGGCTGCAATATAACAAAGAGTGAAAAATTTAAGGGGGTCTGAATACTTTCCGTACCCACTGTACTTCTCATGTGCTTGATCCATTAATCTTACCAAACTCTCAGCCAGAAGGCAAATGAGGATATTTCCCGAAATGCTTTAAGAAAGGGATCATTTTGCACAGAACTCTTGAAGCCAGACTTAAGATGTTTTACAAACGATATAACAATATTTTTTAAGTGGGCACATACCTAAAAAAGAGGATTGTTGTGGATGTTTGCTACCTTTCCTTGTGTATCCACCTCAAAGCTTTGTTTAGAGAAGGCAAATAGAAGTACTATTGTTGGTTTGAAACAACATACAATCTGACACCATCGTGTCCTGTATAGCAGTTAATTCACTAAATGCACAATTATACAGCCCAAACTATCTGCTATCATCCAGCACAGCACTACCGTGCAAAGTGAAGTAAACCTGTGTGGGTGTCATTGTGAACAGGGCTGCGCCGGTGTGACCCTTGTCCAACACCCTGTGTTCTGAGACATTCCATTCTCAGGCATGATCACAAACAATTCAGAAATTGTTCTTAACACATCTCGTACGACAGAACCCATTTATTCACAGCATGTACTTCATTTTAAAAGTGCGACCAGAATATTCTCTGTTTGAGTTTGTAAATGTCTGTGTGTGTATGCATGAACAACTGTTTTAAGACTAAATAACTGTGTGGGTTGAAGTGTTTTGTGCACACATACAATACAGTACCTGCATTTGTATTATCGACAGATGCCCAAAGAATTCAGAGTCATGGTCTTCAGTGGGGAAAACCTCACGTGGCTGTTACACCCAGGTGATGACATCTTCTGAGATCATACACAAAGCTGCACAGTCCTGACCTTTGACATCATAATGCTGTGTGTGTGTCCCTGTGTTTGAGCGATAAAATCCTGGCTTCACTTCAGACACGGTCTCCACATCTACGTCCATCTGATGAGAGGTTGGGGTAACCCCCCTCTGACTCTGGCCCTCTCATGCAATCCTCACTTTGAAGAAACACCTGCTCCCCCCTCACACAAACACACATGCACGGCCTTCCCTATTTAGCCAGTCTCAACAAACACACACATACACAGCTCCTCCAGCCTTACACCAACTCCCTACAGGAACAAGGGATTAACAGAAATGCACTGTGTTTTTTAAACTTATTGTTAAGTCCCAACAAGCAGTGGAAACATCACTTTCTTTCGAGTAGCTCCAAGATCAGTAAATCCAGACATACAGTAACCTCAGGTCCTGTATTTTTCTCCACATCCTCTGGTCACAGTGCAGCAGCAGGAGGTAAAATATATCCACAAAACCAGGCGCAGTCAAACAATTCTGCTTTTAAAATGGTGCCGGAGAATGTCAGGCAAGCTCACGTGAACTTGTGACCATTCAAGAAGATCCTTAAAAGAATAATGTTATTACCTCCAGTTGGCATTAAAAGAATAATGTTATGTATGTTAAAGTTTATGTAGTGGATGGATTGCAAACTCTTGATTTTTTTTAAGTGATTTTTTTTTCTGAGGAAGCAACATTTGGTGGCATGAATCTTCTCTGGTTTAATTTTGGTTTGAAAAGGTTACCACTAAAGTGGCCTTCATTCCATCAGTAAGTCTCGCTGTGCTGGAAATAAAAAAACAAACACACATGTGTGCAGATATGTGAAAAACAAATGCTGTTCAATAAGAAAAGGATGGAAAAAGGAATGTGATCTGTGCTGTACTTGTTAAATATTTGGTTTTGACATGATTTGAAGAGCTTTATGCAACATGTTTAACATGTTTCAAGACCGTTCATTCTGATCTCCATGTCTTCCTAAGCTCTTGGTAAATTCACTTGATCCAACAGTCTTTATTGACCTGTTGTAGCCCTTTCAGTCAAATGAAATTGCAGTATGTCATTTTTTTTCTCAAAAGAGCACATAAAAAAACCTGAAATATTCTATTATTATTTCCATATTCTACCAAAAACAAAGGAATTTCTCTTGAAAACATTTACAGGAATAACGTTAGGTTTCACATAACTTGGGGGAATAATTTGGTAAAATCTTTTTATGCAGCGATTTGGACTGTAACGTCTGCATTTTCTAGTCATTACGGTAAATGGCCGTTTTAGCGTCGGGGATTATCTTTGCTCCTCCACCTTTATTTTGAATCCGTTTTATAAATATTTACGGGCATTAAACAATTACACAACATCTGTAAACTGTTCTGAATAGGTTCCGGTAGGTGTTTTATCAGTATACGCCCATCCCATCCAGCTACACCTGTTTAGGCGCGGCTGTTGCTCTGGGTGTTTGCATCCTTTGCTGCATTCAAAGTGGCTCCGCCTTGTGAGCATATATTTACCGCCGACTCCTTTACATGTCAGAGCCGCGGAGACAGGTTGACCGGACACTCAAGGACAACAAAGCAGTTACTGAACCTGCAGGTAGGAACACAGAGAAGCACACGATGGCCAGCCAGCAGCGCTTTGTGATCAATGCCCGCATCATTGCAACTGTTCTCAGAAGCACACCAAGACTCAAGGTGAGCTAAGACCTCAGACCATGTGTTTTATGTCTGGTAATAATTCTGTTATAAAACCTCCTTTGGTCTCCATTTGATTCACTGCTGTTGTTAACTCCCACAGATGTTCATGATGTCTGTGATGTGGTCTGATGAGGCTGAAGTGATCATTTACAGATCCTTCCAGGATTTCAAGGAATTTCATGTAAGGCACAATCAAGTGTAAAGCAAAATCGCATTTTTTGAAAATAAAAATAAAAATAAAATGTAGGCTGGATCTTTAACCTGGCTGGATATCACATATCCTATAACATTATTTTTTGTTTTTGAAACAGGGGCAGCTGAAAAAGACCTTTCCTCATCTGAACCCTTTCCGGAAAAATGACAGAGTGATCCCCAAATTTAAGGGTAAGATTATTTCAGCTGTTAAGTATGTAATAGTACATACAGCCTGCACATGTTGTACTGTACTTACCCTACAGCTATAGGCCTACAGGGAGCAAAGGGGTATTTAACTAATAATTACAGAGAGAAATGTGGCAATAGCATGTTGTGATTGCTTTGGAAGACCAAACTAAATTAACTGCACTTTGTCTGTTGGGGGCTGTAATCTGAAGTGTTGCCAACATTTCTCCTCCTCGTTTCAGGAAGGGCCATGAGGAGCAGCCTCCAGCAGAAGGGATCCAAGCGATCTGTCCAACGCATGAAGTTTCTGGAGAGCTACTGTGATGAGCTGCTCAAGTGCGACCACACGGTGACACTGAGCTCAGCGGTCACTCACTTCTTCATGCCCAAAGACCATGACCTGCAGTCAGACTTCACCAAGAACTGGTAACACCATGTAGCCATACCAGCTTCAGTTCAGTAGAAAAGAGGTGTCGATTATTAGATAACTGATTGTCTTCTCTTTATGTGCTGTAGCATCATGATCCTGCAGTCTGACGGGTCGGTTGAAGGAGGAGAGGGTGTCACTCGCCAGCATGCAGGCAGCATTACCCACCCGTTTGTCACCCAGACCTACAGCTGCGTGGCTCCTTTTGAGACAAAGGACACAAAGAATCGTCCATTTAAGGTTGCTGTGAATGAGAAGCTGGATGTCCTGATCAAAGACCCTGCAGGTCAGTACCTATAGCTGGGATGAAATCGCTCACAGAAAACATGATGATAAATAAAAATCTCTGAACTTTGAGCTACCTTTACAATCACTTCTGTTTTTGCTCTCCAGGTTGGTGGCTGGTGGAGAAAGAGGATAAGTGCCTTGCTTGGTTTCCTGCTCCCTATCTGGAGTTGTGGGAAGGAGAGGATGATGATGCTGGAATTCAGCTGACAGGTGA